CCGCGCCGGCAGCGTTTATTTTTTATTTTTGACAACTTCCCCGGGCGGGGATTGTGTGTTGTGTGTGTGTATGTGTGTGTGTTTCTTTTTCTTTTTCTTTTTTAAAAAACGTTCTTATTTTTTTTATTCTTTTGCTTCCTTCGATGCTTCCCTGAAAAAAAAAACCCGCCAAAAAAAATTGAAAAAAGAAAAAAAAGTCCACCTTCTCATCGGACCACCTGGTCCGTTTCGTTCGTTCTACCAGGCATTTGCCCGGTTGTGGTTTGTTCTAGTTTGATTTTCACGCGAGGGTTCGCGGTCGCCTCCCTGCTTTTCAACTCCAAGCACCTTCACAGCATCTGCACATACACGCTACAAACAAATTCCCTAGCACCATCAGTCACACACAACCATCCAGCTCCAGAACCAAGCTGGCATCGAGGCACCAAGACACCAGGCATCAGACAGCAGGCATCGAGGCAGCAGGCACCGAGGCAGCACGCATCAGGCAGCAGGCACCAGGCATCGAGGCAGCACGCATCAGACAGCAGGCATCGAGGCAGCGCGCACCGAGGCAGCAGGCATCGAGGCACCAAGACACCAGGCACCACGCAGCCATCAGGCCTAGCGATCAGCTTCATGCTTCCATGACTAGACGATCAGGTTAGTCCTTCCAGTCTTCGTCACAGCTTTCCTTTGACTTTAGATTGCCACTGTCTAACCACATATCATCTCCATAGGATCCAGAGTCCGAGGAGATCTTCAAGCGCAACAAGGCCGACTCTGGTCACCGCGCCCGGCAGATGTCAAAAAAAGTCTACCTTCTCACGGGTAGCGCGTCCAGGGTATCGACGAGGGAGAGAGTCCACCTTCTCACAAGTCGCGCGTCCGGGGTGTCGACGAGGGAGCCCACCTTCTCATGGGGTGGCACAGCCAGCTCCTTTTTTTCGCCCGGTATCGCCAAAAAAGTCCACCTTCTCACGGGGTGGCGCGTTCGGGGTGTCGACAAGGGAGTCCACCTTCTCACGGTGTGGCACAGCCAGTTCCTTTCTTTTCGCGCGACATCGACCAAAAAAAGTCCACCTTCTCACGGGTGGCGCGCCTGGGGTGCCGACGAGGAAGGGAGTTCACCTTCTCACGAGGCGGCACAGCCAGTTCCTTTTTTTTTCGCGGGGATGGGATGAGCTATTTTATGATGGGGCGAGTACTTGGATCTCTTGGGCAGTTTTTATTTTTCTTCTTCACTTCATCTTGTTCTCAAACTCGTTTTTTCTTTGGGGAGGTCTATAGGGGACATTTATACTGCCACAGACTTTAGCTATTCTACCACAAAATAGCCAGACTGTCAAGGTACCTCGACTAGTTTGGGTGGGAGATCCGTGCTTTTCATGGTCGGTCGGTGCCTGTTGGTGACGTGACTGTTCGTTAGTAACGTGCGGGAAGCATTAAAATCAACTCCCCGTAGGGGAGGCGGGGGCAGGGCTCGGGCAAAAGAAAAAAAAACGGTAGTGCCGGGAGTTGGTGCCAAGAAAAAAATAAAGCTTTTTTGCTGCAGGCAAAAGGTATAGGCACGGTGTGAGGCTATTCCGGTTGGATTGCTCTAAGGAGGAAGGGATCTGAGGTGCAGGGCTCCGTAGGAGCCTTTGCCCTTTATATACACGTGACTCCCGTGTCCTCCTTGCTTACTAAGCTTCCCTCCTGATGCCTGGAAGCGTCATACGCTCTCAGGCAGAGGGACCGCTCTTCCGATGCCTCAGGCATCTGCTATCTACGCCTGAGACCTCTCCTCTACAGTATATACTGTCTTCTTTGTGACATTTTTGCAATAATATTAATATAAAGGGCTAATTTACACAACTTAGCCGATTTTTGTGATTTTTTGTGCGAGGAAAAGGACGAAAGGAAATTAAAACCGTGGTAGATAAATTAGGGGCTGAGGGCTCACCTCCCAAATTAGCTATAGGGGTCTCGGATCCTGCCCCGGCAGGGGTCGAGGCCCGTAACCTCCTGGGCCACAGCCTCGAGGCCGGGTTGGGGGTGCCCGCGTTGGCGCATTGCAATCGGGTGCGGGTGATCTCGTTAAGGGCCTTGTTTCGGTAATTGTTCTAACCCTTTCGCGTGCGCGCGCGCGCTTTTAAAGCATTGAAAATTTTGTCGAGCAAAGGCCAAATAGCGTTAAAAAGCATTGTCGATTAAAATAAGGCCGGATTAATAAAAATCGCCGGTTTTTGGTATTAAGGATTAAAATTGTTGCAAAAATTAAAAAGGCGGAAGGAAAAAAATTGGGGGTTGGGCCTTACTTAATAAGCAAAGCGCCCAAGCCGGATCTGTGCTTGAATCTGCCAGTCAACCGATGCAAAAAGGAACGGCCGTGCCAACGACCGTGCAATACGAGGAATTGAACTAATAACTTCATGAATTGACGTGATCAACATGGGAAAACATCGCTCATCATTTGGGTACATTCAATTTGGCTTGTGGGACGGTGCGCGGCAGTGATCGCACGTGTGCACGGATGATTCTGTGGTAGAATAGCTAGAGTCTGTGGCAGTATAGACGTCCCCGGTTTATATTAACCCACCGATTGGTCTATTCCTATAACGGACAAACGGTGCAAGATAAGGTTTATTGCATACTAGTTTCGATCTGTGAAGAGAAAAGAAGACGGGCGCAGGCCCTGTGCCCTCCTTATATACAGTGCGCATCACAACCGACAACTGAAACTGATTGTCAAGATCAGCCTCACAGAAAATAAACCGTAACAATTGATGGGTAGAACTGGTGATCGGGTCGATCGTTTTCGAATGGATCATCAGAAGCACTGGGTGACTGGTCAAGACGTCGGTGCCAGAATTCCTTTGCCTATGTTCTTGCTTTCTTTCGCTTGATCCTTGTCCAGATGGCGCCGGACGTTGTACCCTGGTGCGAAAAAGCAGCAACAGCGCCCTCAGATTAGCAAAGGTCGCCAGCATCTTGAGAAAATAGGTGCTATTATATGCGCTGTCGACACAGTCGTCGCAGATATCTAAAAACCCATATCCAGTACGTGTAGATAGCGTGAAGAAGAAAAAAACATTATCCCGCCATTATTCGAAGCGCCAGTCCCAATCCAACCCAACCAATGAGCCGAGCCCATGTACTTTCTTTTATGCAAACAAGGAAATGGAACGGGGTAGCAGACAGTGCGCTACTCAAGGCTCTGCGCCTCGCACATCTTGAGGTAGAGGCCACCTTGCTGCACAAGCTCGGCGTGGGTGCCCATCTCGACAATCCGGCCGCCGTAAAAGACGCAGATGGCATCGGCGTCCTTGATTGTAGACAAACGGTGCGCAACGGCAACAGTGATGCGGTCGCCCTCTTTGGCGGCCTCGGACAGTGCTTGCTGGACAATCTTTTCGCTCTCCGTATCGAGGGCGCTGGTCGCCTCGTCGAGGAGCAGAATGCGAGGGTTGCGGATGAGGGCACGAGCAATGGCGATACGTTGCCTCTGGCCTCCTGAAAGCTGAGTGCCGTTGGGGCCGGCAGATGTCGCAAGACCGTCTGGAAGCGACGAAACGAAATCCCATGCGTTGGCAGCGCGCAGAGCAGCCTCGATCTGTGCATCATTGGAGCCAGTCTGCACCGTCGTCGAGACGACGCCGTCTGCTGATGGTGGTAGCTCCGACTCGTCGATGCCGAGCGCGATGTTCTCGCGGATGGTGCCCTGGAAGAGAGTAGGCTCTTGCTGCACAAGTGCGACGATCTTGCGGTACAGGCGCGGGTTCAGGTCCGTCAGGGAGTCACCATCCAGCTTAATCGAGCCTGTCGTGGGGTCGTAGAAGCGCTCAAGCATGGCGATGATGGTCGACTTGCCACAGCCCGAGGCACCGACAAGGGCGACAAACTGGCCCTTCTTGATCTGTAATGATTGTGACAAGCTATTAGTATGCTAGGGATGCAGACAGCAGCGCCTTGCAGAGGAGGGAGGTACATGCCTCGAGCGACACGTTCTTGAGCACAGCAGTGTCCGGGCGCAGCGGGTACGAGAAGCGAACATCATCCAACGCAATAGGACCGCTAGATCTGGGACCCTTGTCCCGGTTGTTGGAGTTTTCCTGCACGGTCGGTTGGCTTTCTTGGAGCCAGAAGATGTAGTTTCCGCCGTTCATGCCCTTAGTCATGCTGGTAGAGAACTGGAAGATCTGCGACGTTGCCTGAGCCGAGAAGAAAACGGACATGAAGGACACGAAGAACTGGAAAAGAGTGATCTCGCGGTTGGCGACGAGCTGGCTTCCCCACCTGTAGCATATAAAGAGGAATGATCAGCGATAATCCGGAGGTGGAGGCTTCTTGCATCCAAGACTTACCAGAATCCAAGACCCATGAACCAGTACTCGGTCGCCTGTGACAGGGCAAACCAAGTCATGGTGATCATCAGGGGGCGACGCGAATCGCCGACGGCTTGGTCGAGCTCCTCGGTGTACTTGGTTAGAACCTTGCGCTCAATGGCAAGCGAGGAAACGGTGCGAATGGCAGTGACAGATTCGGACGCGATGGCGGAGCTGGTGGACAGGCGGGCCGAAATGTTACGATCGAGCCTGGCGTCGAACCGCATCTTGAGGTATCCGCAGCCAATGACAACAGGAAGACCGGCCAGCACAATGACCAGGCCGAGCTTCCAGCTGAAAACGATTCCGAGGACGCTGCACGAAGCAATGTTGAGGGCTGCAATGACGATGAAAGCGATGTTGAAGCTCATCAACTCGAAGACGCTTTGAGGGGTGGAGTCGACACGGCTTGCAAGCGCTCCGATGTTGTTCTCGGGCCTGTCAAAGAACTGGAGATCCTGGCGCAAAAGGTTCTGGAAAATAGACTTCCTAAGCTTGTGCTGGAAGGTCTGTCCAACGACGTTGGTGCCGTAGCCGAGAACAAAGTAGCAGACGAGACAGCTGCCAGCCAACACGATGAACATTGACGACAAAAAGTCACCACGGCTGGTCATGGCGTCGCCGGTTAGGGTGAAGACCTCGACCATGTAAGCCATGAGGACAGCTTGGGCAGGGTACAGCCCACAAGAGATGACGCAGGTCAGGAAGACGGAAGCCAGCGCAACCCGTAGCTCGGGAGCCTCGACCACAAGGCGCTTGACAACGGCGAGGAAGCCCTGGCCCTTGTAGGCCTCGAAGTCGTTGCGCTCGATGGCGGCGTTCACGCGGTCCAGGTCGGCGGTCGGGTAGCGTGTCATGGACTTGACCTGGCCAACGGCGTCGGCGTCGGCATTGACGGTATCATCTTCCTCGCCGCTCTCCGTGTCCGAATGCTCGCTTGACAGAGTCAGTTGCTGGATCTTGACAAGGCGGGCGTAGGTTCCGTCCTGGGCAAGAAGGCTGTCGTGTGTTCCCTGTTCGACGATGCTACCCTTGGTCATGACCACAATATTGTCGGCCTTGCGGATGGTTGCGAGCTTATGGGCGATAACAATGGTTGTGCGACCCTCAGCCGCCTTATCAAGCGCCTGTTGGACGATGCCTTCGGCGTGGGGGTCAAGGGCGCTGGTGGCCTCGTCGAGGAGAAGAACCTTGGGCTGAGAGACAACACTACGAGCAATAGCAATCCTCTGCTTCTGTCCACCAGATAGGAGGCTACCGCGTTGGCCGATGTCGGTGTCGTATCCTTGAGGAAGTTCGGTGATGAAGTCGTGGGCAAAGGCAGTTTTGGCGGCATCCTGGATGTGCGTCATCTGCTCCTCCCTGGTGGCGTTTTCCCAGGGCGTGCCAACAAGACCGTACGCAATGTTTTCGAAAACGGTTCCGCGGAACAGGGTGGGCTCCTATGGTTTGCGGCGGTTAGAATGATGTCTTCAGAGTCGTGATGCGACAAGGAACAGGGATGACCACTAACCTGCTGCACCAAGCGAACATTCTGGCGGAGCCAGCTCAAGTTAAGCTGGTCAATCGAGTGGCCATCCAGCTTGATAGTTCCGGAGGCAGGGTTGTACCACCGCTCAAGAAGACCAACGATGGTGCTCTTTCCGGATCCACTGGGACCAACGAGCGCAGTGATCTTTCCAGCAGGAGCCGTAAGCGAGAAGTTATCGAGGACCGTGACGCCAGGGCGGCTGGGGTAGGCAAAGGTGACGTTCTCAAGCTCGATGACACCGCGGTTCTCGGTGGGACGCTCGCCCGCGGGGTCCAGGGGGTCGATTTTGGACTGGCGATCGATAAGAGCAAAAAGCTGGGCGGCAGCAGAGGCAGCGCGAGTAAACTCGATGGAGTAGGGCGCCATCTGCGTCAGGCTGATGGCAGCAATGACAACGGACAGAAGGACAGTAAAGACCTCTCCGCTGTTTGCAACCTCGCCCCTGGCCAGCATGTGGATACCTTGCCAGAATGCGAGGCCGTAGCCCAGATAGATGATGGTGTACTCGGCCGAGAAAAGAGTTCCCAAGAGAACCGAAATCTTCTTGCCGTGATTGTGGGCTTCCGTCAGGATCTCGTCAAATTTGCCGACAATCCTGTTGCGCATCTCGAAAGCGTGAATGGTACGGATGCTGGCGAGGATGCCTTCGGCGTAAGAATTGGCTTGGGCATGGGTGTTGAGGACTTTGGTCTCGTATCCGGCCTCGATAAAGGAAACAGTGGCCATGAAGCCGATACAGAGAGGAGCGATGCATGACACGATCAGGGTGAGCTTCCAGTTGGTGACAAAGGCAATGATAAAAGAGGCGACGAAGGCGGAAAGACCCTGGATAGTAAGGCCGAGCTTCTCCGAGATTCCGTTCTGGACCAGGCGGCCGTTCGCATAGGCCTGGGTGGCGATGGAGCCGCTGGTTCCTAGGTCGAAGAAGGCAACCTCCTGGCGCAGGGCCGACTGCAAATAGATGCGGCGGATGTTGCGAACGATGCGGTACGCGGTGTACGTCATGAGAGTGTTGTATGTGTAAGCCGCGACGAACCTGGCGATACCCAGGTAGACAAACCAAAGGCTGGGATGTGATGTCCCCAAGTTAGCCCATGCGTCCTTTTCCGAATGTCGAGGGGGCGTCCGCTCAACCTACGCTAATGAGGCACCGCCCTGCCGGAAGTTGTCAGAGGCTGACTGCCCGGATCCGAAGTCTGTGAAGACTGTGACAAACTGGCCAAATATTATATTTTGCGACGCCATGGCAACACCTGAGCCCATAGCGCCAAGGCAGGCGATGGCCAGCAGCACATAGTCGAGTGCGCCGGCATACCTGAAGACTCTCTGTGGAGGTGCACATGGCAACGGTTAGCGCTGGAAGAGGGAAGCTTCACCCTGCAACTGGCGTGCGGCTGTGCAAGTCCCAAACTAACCCAGTATGCTTTCCACGCGCTTATTTCTTGCAAGCTTTCGGTTTGTGTCGTTGATGATACATCTGTGATGGACGGCGACGAGGCACGCCCCTTAGCGGCCTTCTTCTCGGAGCTAACGCCCATGGTGGGCAACTGGGACGGGTGGACGCTCGAATAAGAAAGGAGCTAGCCACAGGCAGCCCTAGTCCAATCTATGAACGGGATGACGTTGGACAAGAAAAGGCAAACGAGAGGTAAAAGAAGATATTAGGACGCTTACGCAGTAAGCAGGGCGGGATGTCCAAACAAAGAAGGGAGCAAAGGATCAGGGAGCGGCGGTGGGGTGGAGGAGCGGCATAGATAAACAAAAATAAGGAATGGAGGACCATGTGTGTCAGTCGGGCCAAAATATCAGACGGCATCCACCCGGCTCTTCTTGACTTGGGGGGCTTTCTATGGGAGAGCAAGCCCAGGCGTTCCTCGGGCCCGAAACAAGCGTGCTCGCCATGCCCCCCCACCAGGAAGGGCATGGATAGTATGGGCAACTGGGGGCGCCACCACGGAAGGTGGAGGCGACCCTCCGACGGTCCGCGGAGAGTAGCTTGGGTCCAGTCCTACGGCACGGCCATCTAGCCCCGCAGTCTATCCCAGCTGGAGGGCGACAAATGGCGACGGTGACGCAGGGGGCGATGGCCGCACATTGGTGTCGAGGTGGGAGGCTGTCGCGACCTTGGGTTTCTTTCGGCCGGCTTCTGGAACCCGCGAGTGTTGAAACATTTGCAGGGGCTGCGCTGCTTAGGTGGGTTGTACTAGCTTGCGTTGTCTGGCAGAATCCGCTCCCTATAGATCTGCAGAAAAGCAGCGTGGAAGGAGGCAAATCGCGAGGGAAGGAACGTCTGGGGGGTGGTTTTTTGCACCAAAAATGGCAAGAAACAGGCAAGAGGTCGCGTCCAGAGTGGGTCTGATACTCTCGTGCCGATGCTTGGGGCAGCCGACGGGGCTCGCGTCCGCGGAAGCCGGGGCTTGGGGTTTTCGCGGAGCCCGACAGGCTCCCCAGCCGTGCTGGCGAGCAACTACCACCCACAGGGCATCGCTCAACTGTTTGTCATACCATCCACAACGGCACTGCAAACCTGCCCTGCCCACCAACACCCGCGAATTCTAGGTACGCCAATTAGCCTTCGCGTCCACAGTCCCGTCGGGTGTGTGATATTGAGGTAATATATGGGCCGCCAAGACCCTAGAAACATTTCGCCCGTGACCCCGTCTTGTGCGTGCGGCTCCTCTAAATTCAACATCACCATCGCGCGAGCGCCTCCTCGTCCGTGTCTGAATCGGACAGCCCCCACATGTTCGTTCCCGTCTATTCTTGTTGTCGTCTTGATCCGCACCGCCGGAAGGGACTGTCCCTGCCAGCGCCGGGCCGGCCAGGCCTGCGCAGCTACGAAGGGCCGTGATCATTCCGCTGGGCTCCAAACGACTAGCCGTTGACATGTCTCGAAGCAGCGGGCTGCCTGCCGCGAGCTTTTTGTTTATGTCGGGTGGCTCCTTGTATTTTATCTTTGTTGGCAGTCCCAAAACCACATGTGGACGGACGCCCACGTACCGTCTTATCTTCCGTGTTTGCCCAGGGGATTGTTTAAGGTTCTTTCCATAAAGTGGCCCAGTGGCCGGGCCCGGGGTCCGTGGATCAGAGAGGCAGGGTCGCTGCAATCGCCAAACATTCTCCATACCAAAGCCCCTTAATGTGTTGGAACGGCGCAAATGGACATTTGTCCATCGCATTTGAATTGCTGCTTGAATCAGAATCTGAAGAAACTCGCAGCTGGGTGGGTGGGTCGTTTCCGTCAGCGTTCGGGGATAATGGCATTCTCCTTTCTTTTCCAAATTATCTTCCCCTTCTCCGTCCAATGATCGCCGCCAGGGACTCCTTTCCCATCCGCCCCGGAAAGGCCCTTGCCCGGCCCATTTCCCAACTGTCTTCTCCGATTGATGCCAGTGCCTGCCCTGCGCCGGACGTTTATGAGATGCAAGGTCGCCGATCTTTTGCTCTTACCTTTCCTCGGATGCTTCCGGGACTCGCAGCGCCCGCTCAAGCCACAGGCTCGATCCGCTCTTGTTGAAGGCGGGGCTGGGCCTCTTCCCTTTCCAGCCTGCGGCCGCGTCGATAGAAGTTCAATTGCATGATGGCCCACAACGCCATCCGAGGGAGACAAATCACATCCATCGCCACCTCCATCCATGGGCCCGTCCACCACCCCCGTCGTTGCCCCGCGTGCCGTGTGCGCCCGGCCATCCCCCGGTCCATCCACATGCTTGTCTCGTCACCGAACCACCGAGTGGCCTGGCCATTAAGCCAGTTTAGAGTAGGAAAGTCGCTGCGTCTCTTCCCGGAAGCTGCCCTCGCGGGGCATTCGGTGAGGCCCCATGGAGTCAAAGACGGCGGAAGCGACGGCGGCGCGAAAGAGGTGCTCGAGTTGCCGATAGTCCAGATAGCATTAATGTAATATCGCTTCCCGTATAGCAGAACATCGTAGGTTGGTAATATGATGCTGCTTGGTGGCTGTCGCAGCGCGTTGTTGATGTTAGATACCGCGATTCGGGCATGGCGACCATGGGTCGAGTGGTAAAATAAGTCCCTGAGGGTCATGATCCAGTCGTTATCCATCGCCTCAGGACGAAAGAACGGTATGTAAACTTGTGTGGTGATGTATCCCACAGCCAACACAGCGTCGTAAATCACAAAGGGAGTGGTGTGTGTGGTCAAGCGTCCCACGATGTCGCCCATCGCGAGGGGAGTGAAGGATATGGAGCTGAATCGTATATTCCGTCAGGTTGGAGGATTCATGGGTAGACGGAGCAAAGACTTAATCGCTGTGGAATATTCTCTGGTCACTGGATGGACGATACGGTTTGTATAAATCTTTTGCCGTCAACGTATGGAGATGGGTGGAACAATACATTTCGGGGTTTTAGACCCACTAAGGATGCATACTTCCCGAGGCATTCACGGTGCAAGAAAATGCCAATCCAAAGCAAAACGCCTCTGGAGTATGAACTACATCCGCACAAAGGTAATAAAAATAAAAAAATAAAAATAGTCTGGGGGAGGTGGTGTCAATATGGCCTAGACCTCGAGCCATCGTTTGGCATTCTCGACAAATCTGACGCATCCAGCTGGCCGGCGTGTATTCAGCGAGCTCAATCTCCTGGTAGCCCGGCCAGCACCACTCGATCCAGAGATACCGCCAGCCAGATGACAGTTCTAGCTTGATGCCCCTGCTTCTAGGCTCGGAGAAGTCCTGTCAGTAGTCAACGACGATCGGTCTTAGTAGGGAGGAGCACCCCATATTTTCAGTACCGGTAGATGCAGTGGAAAAACGATCTTTCGCGTGGTCAAGCGCCAGGTATTAGATATAGTCTGTGTAATATGGGACAGGCTGGAGCAGAGGGCACACAGACCGTGCAACGGTCAATGTGCAACTGGCCGCAGAGTTCCCTGGCCGTCTGCCTGTCTACTCCTGGGGATCCTGTGTATATACAAAAGTGCCTTACGGTCATCCTCTTTGCTGTGGCCCGGACCTGCTTCTTTCTTCATTGTGCATGTTGCCCGAATGCTTTCCCAAACCTGTCCCGGTCGTTGCTCATCGACTTTGCATGCCTCCTTGCCCCACTGGAGCAAACAGCTTTTGCCATAAATGGCGGGTATAACTGTTGCCACCACTCATCCAGGCACCCATCGTCCATCGGCGGACGCAGCAATGTCAGTGTACTAGACCTCTTCTACGCGGTGCTTCTCGACGCTCCTGTGTCTATGCTCGGTGGTTGGCAATGGGATATAACCTCCGACTAATTACATTTGTTGAGCGTGTCGGCTATGTTGAGATGTCACCGATGCTCTTTCTTGACTAATCTGCACCATGATCTTGGCACCCCGACATGCTTACAGCACGAGCATCGCTAGAAGTACCACTAATCCGGGCTTTCGAGAATCAGTCTGGCGCTCGACCTCGGACGACCCTCCCGCAGGTTTCACCCCGCAGTTGCGCCATTTTTTCTTCGGCGTAAAAGCTAGGTAGTCCATGAAGTGCACGGTGTCACAAAGGAGGCTATCACGAAGGGCCGGCACACTGCTCCAGGCCTTGGCACGGAAGATCTGCACGGGCGGGCACCCGGAAAAACATTACGAGTGCCCGTTTTTTTTCATACGGTGCTTGCATATTTGGAGAAAGTGGGGCGGCGCCGGCCTGGAGCATAAAATGCAGGGGGGCCTGTAGCTGAGCTATAGGCGGAAACATGGATGGCGTGTCCCCCAAAGCACCTGGCATGATGGTCCTAACTTTTACAGTGATTCAGAAAACCCCGGCCCGCAAAAAGAGAAAAAAAGATCGAGGTTCATGGTTCCTTTTTTTTGTCTGGACGAAAAATCTTGATTGGCGTGCAAGAGTCGAGGGGAGAGAGCGCAATGGAAAGGGGGTACTATCAGACATGAAGTAGCGAGGCTTTTAGTGCTCCTCCGCTGGCTCTCGATTTTCCGGACCAGATAAAAAAATTTGTTATGTTTCCTTTTTTTCTTGTTGCTTCTGAGGGATATAATACACGCGGAGGGGGGGCACCGTCCCGGGAAGGTCTTCTAGGCCGGCCGCCATCGCCTCATCGTCTTTGTGGGTGGTGGGAGCAGTAGTAGCAGGAGTAGCAATAGTAGCGACAGTAAGGGGTCAGTCAATACAGGAGCGGTGGTGGTGGTAGTGGGCAGCAGTGGCAGCAAGTCCTCCGTGCGGCGCTCCGGCCTTCCGTCCAGAAAGGGAAAAAAGAAAAGTCCGTCATGATGTTCGTCATTAATCCACAACACCCCACCCCTCTAGATGGTGAGGAACTTTTGGGCCCAGGCGGCCCTGCTGTACCAGCTCCTCATCCTCTTGCCCCAGATGTACATGGGGATGGCGAGCACGGCCATGCCGATGGTGGCGCCGGCCAGGGCGCCGAGCACGGGCTTGGCGCCGAGGGTTCCGAGGGCCTCGACGACGGGGCCGGTGCCGACAAAAGACACGAGGGCGGCGATGCCGTTGACGGTGATGAAGGCCTGGGCTGACTGCTTGGGGTAGCAGTCGACGACGTACGTGATGGAGATCTGCGTGGTGCCGACGGTGCCGAGGTTGGTGATGGAGTTCCACACGAGCAGCCACGGGAGCGGCTGGGCCTCGGTCACGGCCTGGGCGAGGCCGATGAGCCCGACGGCCGTGACGGGCACGGTGAAGGCGAGCGAGATGAGGCGGAACTCGGGCTCGGCCAGGCCGCCGTTGGTGCGGGCCATGTAGCGCGTCAGCGCGTCCGACACGTATCCCATGGCGGGCCCGCCCACGAGCGCGACGGCGAAGAGGGGCAGGTTGGTGAGGCCGATGGCCGAGGGGGAGAGCGAGTAGGGTTCGGCGCCGAGTACGATGGAGATGAGGGTCGGCACGCCGGCCAGCAGGAAGAGCAGCTGCGTCGACAGCAGCGCGCTGTAGGCGATGATGGGCGACGTGATCATGCCGAGCGGCTTGCTGACGCCGCGCCAGAAGCCCATGTCGCTGATGCGCCCGCGCGCCACGGCCAGGTTCTGCCCGTACGTGCGCTTGGCGGGCAGCTCGAGGCCTTCCTTGGAGGCCGGGTACGCGTCCTCCTCGAGGTCGAAGCCGGCGGCGGCGGCCTTGGCGCTCTTGAAGCCGGACGAGATGCGCGGGGTGAAGTAGGCCGACTCGAGCAGCGCAAAGTAGGCGGCGGGGAACAGGACGGAGAAGACGATGGCGACGAAGCCGAACGAGGCCGACACGCCCATGGCGTCGATGACGAAGCCCGAGATGATCTGCGCGATCTGCCCGCCCGCGTTGAGGGCTAGGGTCGAGAGCGCGATGAGGGTGCCGCGCTCGTGCACGTAGAAGATGTCGGCGAGCGTAGCCGTCATGAGCTGGAAGAGCGGGGCGCCCGCGAAGCCGGCGAGCGTGCGCGCGGCGGTGAAGGAGATGAAGTCCTGGGCCAGGTAGCCCATGTAGTTGAAGACTGCCAGGAGGGCGATGCCGCCCAGGTAAAAGGGACGGCGGCCCCACACGTCCGCACCGGCCACGACGAAGAAGCCGGCGAGCGAGGTCCAAAAGGTCGGGGCCGTCAGGATCCAGGACGAGATGTCGGCCTCGGTCGTCTTGAACTTCTCCACCATGGGCACGATGCCGGGCGTCACCATGGTGGCCAGGCCGTTGGTGGCGGCGGCGCCGAAGGCAATGACGAAGAAGTGCAGATACTTCATGCTCTTGGACCAGTTGAGCGGGTCGTTGGGGTCGTCCGACGGCTGCGGCTGCAGCACGATGTTGCCGCTCTTCTTGAGCCCCTGCTGCCCTTCGCTAAAGTCTGGATAAGGGGGGATCAGTCAGCAAGCGAGATTTTGGCGACCGAGTCCAGCCAGCACGTGGCAAAGACCACCGGGCCCAGCGCAGCAAGGCAAAGCTCACCATTGTCCTTGTCATCCTCTCCGAGCCTGACAGTTCCCAGAGGCAGTCCCCCGCTCCTAGGTTCTAGAATACCCCAACCCATCGCTTTGACGTCCTGTGAATATAGTCGCAACAACGACTAGAAAGAAAAAAAAGAAGAGAAAAAAAAACCCGATCACGGGAGGCCGAGAACGGTTGTGGAGCTCCCCGGACACGATCGGGAAAATGAGTGAACACCGGCTCTGCCGTCGTCGTCGTCGTCGTCGTCGTCGGGTGCGGTCGGCCCTGGTCGGGCAAACGGCCGCGGCTTCAAAGGAAGGTAAAGAAGGACAAAAAAAAAGCAAACTACACCAAAAACTGCAACTATCCGGTAGTTACAGGCCAAGTCCAGTTGGCAATGAAAGCGAAAGGTAGAGAAACAAACAAAACAGCAACAACAAAAAAGGACGGGAGGGATGGTGATAGAAAGGGAAAGGCCCCGAAAACATAATCCTTCGAGAACGGGGCCGCTTCGTTTATGATGGGATGTTTGTCAAACCCCCCTGGCGGTCGTCGTCGCCTCCGCACGTGCACGGGCCTGCTGGCGGCAGGGGGCCTGGCCAGCAGCCACAGTCTGCCATAAAAAGCCCCGAGGCGGCCCGGCCAGAAGGAGAGGATCCTCAGCCCAAACCGACAGACCGGGTCCTATGTTCCGCTGCCTTGCCAGACCAGACGCAATCAGAGGCGGGATGCAAGGTACCCGCACCTTAGCCGCCTTCTATCGTCGACATCGGCATGCGGGTTCAGGGGTTTGCGAGCGACGCATTGGTTTGTGCGTGTGCATGTGTGCGTTTGTGTTTGCGCTCGTGTCTGGCGTCGGGTAGCGCCGCGCCCTGTCCGCCTGTCTGTCCTGACTGGCGGATGGCGGCCCGGCACTAACGGCACCTGGAGGGCTAATTTAATCCAGGCGTAACACCCGACGAGGGTGAGCTCCAGCTTGGCCCTTTCCAACGCCTGTCGTCCCATCTTCAGGGTTTGTTCTGGTCCGGCCAGGGGACCACGAGTAGGAACCAGGCAGGACGATAAAGAAAGGAAGAGAGAGACACAAGGGGAAGAGACAGGAAAAAATAACAAGCAAGAAAGCCAAGAAAGTCCAGACCGGCATCTGTTCACACGGCGGGGCATGGGGGATTTGCAAAACGTGGCTCCCAAATTTTTAATAGGGGTGCGACACGACATATGGTTTTTCCATGACAAGATGCGCTCGCCCACTTCCCGCGGCCATCACGACAGGATGACGCGGTCCGGTACTGTGCCAGGGGTTAAATCCCGTGGCCCTTCGGACGCTGCGCTGCCCAAGCTCGGGGGTGTTGCTGTCATGGATGTTTTGCCTGGTGCAGATCAACTAATGATCCCTTGGAGTGGAGTCGCACCGCCCAGGGACCCGTTCCGGCTCTTCTAGTGGGGGCAACCCATCCCGCCAAGATGGAGTTGGCGTGTGCGCCGTGTCTGATCTAGGCCAAAACTGGTGCTTCTTCAACCTTTTTATCTTGTCGCCTTGTTTCACCCCCGGATTCAGATGCCCCTCACCCTCCGCGGACGCCGTCTCCCCGGCCCCGCGGGCGCCGTGGCGCTCAGACGTCCCGATATTGGTGCTAGTCAGACCGCCAATGGGTTGGATGCCAGCAGGCAAGGAAGCGATAGAGATGGAGGAAAGAAACGTGAATTTAAAGGCGGACCCAGACCAAATGCGCCAAAACCCGCTTTCACAAGCCAATCCGTCTCTGAATCTGGCACCGCCCGACGCACCGAACTCGGCCTCACGTGCCCATACACGTGATGTGCTATATCGTCCCTCCCATGGCTTCGAGCTGGAGACACCAGGGCAAAACAAGTCACCTACACCCGCCTACCTACCAATGGTTGATGTAGACTCAACAAATGCCATCCAAAATGTCCAAAATCCATCCTCCCCCATAGGGACCTCGGAGCGTTCCAACACCCCGAGACCAAAAAGAAGCCCTCTGCACTGGGATAGGTCGGTAAATGGCTGCTATCCGCGACCCCGCCATGCAGACCTCCCACTTCCCGCAGCCCGCGACGAGCTAGGAAGATGGCACCGGGCTATGACCAACCAACCACTGTATCTGGAATCTCTTCCCTGCAACAGCACGCGTTTCACCCTCCTCGGGAGGGAAGGAGCTACCGCCCAGCGTACTGAGAACGTGAAACTTGGTACTTCAAATTACTGTGGCCAGTTTGCTCCGTACGTTAACCGCGTTAATGTGTAATAGGATGAGCTTGGAGTGGTGTAAGAACCGAGTTTCCATGTCCTCCGTGCTAGCCAAAGCTCACACTCTGGTTCAAATCCAGTAATTAAGCCAAAAGGCTCGCTTGGTTGTTTTTGTTTTTTCAAGGCAAGGGAGGAAAGGACCGGTGGACAACTTTCGGCAGGCGTTCCATCGCATGGTCATATTGTCGAATGTTGGCGCCGTCCTTCCCCACACGAGATCGACAAAATCAGTGCCCCCAGACATCGGCGGTGGCAGGAAGACCGCTAAAAAAGCCAAGGTGACATTGACTACTCGTCTTTTTGTTTGTAGTTTGTGCCCGGATAGGTGGGGGCGGGCCTTTTGTTACAGTTGGGCGTTCAAGAAGCGAACATAGCATTGCCGACCGAACCCCGGTTTCCGGCTGGAGAGAAGCCATATGTAGCCATTTTATTTGGAAAATGGTGTCTTGTGCTCCTCTTCAGATGTCTCGACGCATGTTTTAGACGCAGGGTATATCGGATGGCGTCGCCAGAGCTGTCGGATGCGCGGGTGAAATGGTAGAGTAGCGGGCGGTACGTGGCAGCATTGCCAGGCGCTCGCAAGTCTGCTAGCCGCAAGAACTGTGCTCTGCAGTCGTCGACTGTGAGGTTAAATGGTTTGCATCCGTGTGGCCATGTTTGCACACGCGTTCGGGCAACACCTCCAACTAAGGACACGAGTCTGTCTCGGTCGATCCCGCCAGGGGCGCCCCCGTCGTGGGTTCCATTCGCCGCTCTCGTTACTATGGATACGGTAGATGCTTGTGGTGAGCTGCCACACGGCCCCTCCAAGGGTTGATCAAAACGAGAGGTGGACACAGTTTAAATTTCTTGAGAGAAGAAATCAACCCTAAAAGAGGTATATTAGTAGTAAATGAAGATAGTGCTAGGGCCGGACCATGTATATATCCGGCTTTTGCTCCGTGCCTTTTAATGGTTGAAGTTCTCTTTATATCAAAGGTTTAACCCCCAAAAAGCCACCACGGCACATGTTCGTGATGTTGTTGTTTCGGGTTTCTGCGCGTTTCCGCCTGGAAGAACAGCGGCCTTTGTGGTGAAGCTTGTAACGAGTTTTCTGCCAAATTGGAAGAGCTCAGTTCAACTCGATGGTTTTGATAGATACTTGCTGGCCACGCTCAAGCACCGCTCAGCTTCTACCCAACGACTTCATCTGTAAAGCTTCTTGTTCGGTGTTTAAACTCCAACTTCCAAGTGGATGCAAAGGAAAGGTTCCAGGAGGTTAGTGAAATATATCTATGCAAGTGCATCGACGCCACTAAATTCAGATGGGAACACATGGTGGGGTGCAAAAGGACATGTGATATATGTGAACATCATACATTGCAAAACCATGCTAATTTTAACCGTATCGCTATGCAAGAATTACCAAACGCCAACCGAACGCTATGCAACAAAAAACAATATATATGATAAAGGCAGAATCCGAAAAAGGGTATAGTCCTGTCCTGGCAGAGAATGATAGGGGAGATGGCGGGTGCGTGGGAGAAGCGAGAGGCCGGAAGCCCTTTAAACCTGGCCGTCGAACTTGAGGATGCCCCAGCTGACATTCTGCTCGAACTTGGTGCCGTTCTTGTACTGCTTGTCGCACTTCATGTTGCCCTCGGCCGAGACGCGGTGGCCGCGCGTCTTGTCGGCGCTGTTGCCGTAGCGGACGGCGAAGCGGCGGTGCGAGTCGGTGATGAGCTCCTGCACGTCGATGTTTGCGATGAAGGTCTTGTGGCCGCTGCTGTTGCGGATGACGAAGCGGCAGTTGGCGCCGCTGTTCGACCCGGCCACGATCAGGTTGATCTCGCCCTGTACCTTGGCGGGCGAGAAGACCCACTTGCCCGGGTTCTTCTTGGCCCAGTTGCGGATGGCGAGGCAGCCGCCGGTGAAGGGCGCGGCGACGGTGGTCTTGTTGGTGAAGCTGCTGGCGCCGCACTGTTATGGGTGGGTTTGGGGTTAGCCTATGCTGTTGAGAGGCGGGAAGGGAGAATGAAGAGGCACTTACGCTTCCGCGCTCAAACTTCACCTTGGCCTTCTCCTTGGCCTTTTCCCTCGACGCCTTCTTCTCCTCGTCGGTCTTGGGCTTCTTGTCCTTTTTGTCGCCCTCCTTCTTGTTGGCCGGCTTCGGGTCCTTCTTGACGTCCTTGGCCTTCGGGACCCACTTGACGATGCTGTCGTTGAACTCGGTCACGTGGACCTTGAACGTCTTCTTCTTGGGCTTCTTGTCCTTGGCCGCGGCCGCGGTAGCGTTTGACGGCTTCTTATCCTTGTCGTCGGCGCGCACGTCCAGCTGGGGGAAGGCGGCGTCGTCGTCCTCGGACCGGACCTTGAAGCTCTTGTGCACCCACAGCGAGACGGGCTCCTCGCCGTCGCTGCGCTTGTCGAGGGTCAGCTTGACCATGTCGCGCATGTTGATGTTGCTGAGGCCGTCGACCCCCTCGGCGATGTCGTACTGCTGCGCGGCCACCAGCGTGGTGGCCATCATGGCGAGCGTGGCGGCCGTGACGCGCATTTTGGTGATTGGATTTGGCGCTTGGGGGGTATTCGAGGATGTAGTTAAGGTGGAGAGGGAGGAAAGAAGTGTTTTGCGTGTGTGGTGCTGTTGCTTTGTGGTGGTGGTGATGGTGATGATGGTGATGCAACTCCAAGACAAACAAGACCGGCTTCCGTAGATATTTATCAAGCTTCGCGGGATGTATATCGTAACAGTTCCAGGCGAAGCTTGGCCTGTGGCAGATCGAATCTCACCCATCGCCATGGGTTTCTGGCCGGCTGTGGGGGGCAGCGGCTGGCGCTTACTGCAAGTGCCAGCCACGCTCCCCAAAGTGGCGGCTGATTTTGGGTGCCTGCCCATCTCGGGATTACAGATTGCCAGAAAAGGGTGGCCTTCCTCAGCCTTCTTACTGTGGGCTGGAGAGACAGCCTCCACCAAAGGGGCCTTGCCGCGCGGGAGCGGCTGCGCGGTTGTTGCCCGCTGCAGTCTGGTCTGTACAGCACGCTGCGAAGAAAGCACCGCCCACTGTGTGTGGGGTCAGCCAGAGCGCCAAGCAGCGAAGGAGCCAAGCAACGCTTACCCAACCAATCAGGAGCACTGCTCTCCTGGTTTGCGAGCTGTCAATCGCTGCAAATTACACCAGCTATTTTCGGGCCCTCAGCGTGGCGGTGTTCGTTTTGAGGCCACCACCAGGCTCTTTTCCAGCCACGCACACCAAACTGTCAGGGACCAGTCTCGAGCGCATGTCAGCGCACCACCACCACGTCCAAAACGGCACGCACAGGAGTCAGCTTGACAATAAAATTCACACCACTACCAAATTTGACTCGTAGTTCCCGTGTTCTCACCTCTAGGAAGTGGTTCAGAAGTGCAAAACCCTCCTCGTCATTCCACCTCCCCGGTAAAGCCCCGCGCCACTGGTTTCCGTCCGGATCTGGCTGTCAAGCTTGGGCGCGTGGCATACCAACAATCACCTGATTTCCCGCACTGGCGATATACGGGTTCGTTGGAAAGGGGGGCGCTGGAATATGCTCGGAATGGAATAATCCCGCGATCTCAAAAACCCGCGCAAACTCTTCGGTTTGGCCACCGTGGGCTGGCCTTGCTCCTTTTGGCTTTCCCGTTCGGTCCCGGTCTTGGCCGCCGCGGGCAGGCTTTGTCCCTTTTGACCTTCTAGCTCAGCCCCAGCCTTGGCCGCCATGGGCTGGTCTTGCTCCTTTTGACCGCCTTCTCGCTCGGCCCCGGCCTTGGGCGGGGCGGAATACCCAGGCATAGTGCTCGTTCGCTCGACCTTTATCTGGCGGCTTTCGAGGATGGTAGTCGTGCTGGTTGTCGTCGTCGTCCCCCCTGGGGTGACGGGCATGGTCGCTGGCCTGGCCGGCGCTTTCACGCCAGTTGGTGGAGTCACAAGACTATCGTCCCGGCAGTCGACGCCCCCACTCGGGGTCTTGTCTGGCGTCTCGGTCCGGGGCTGGTGACGAACTAGGGTGAATGTTTCATCAGAGGCCTCACCGGAGGCACGGCCGGCGGCAGCAGGCCTGGCCATTACTTGCACGTCCGCTGGCGGAACCGCGGGCCTGCCTTCCGGCCGGACAACACCCTCTCCCGGCTTCTTGGCCGGTGCCTCGGTCCGGGCCGGGCGGGGAACCGGCGCGACGGCTTCGCTGGGGGCTTCATCAACATAAGCATCTCGAATCAGCTGGCAGATGCGCATAAAATCCGGGTGGTCGGGATCCTCAAATTGGCACATGGTGCGATGGTTCCCCCCCATCGCCTCCAGCTCGTCCTCGATCCCCATCATCGCGCTCGTCTGGTCGACGATGAGCCGGTCGGTGCCGTCGCAAATGTCCGTCTCGTAGTTGTTGCTGATTCTGTACTTGCGCGCATGGTGGCGGAAGTCCTCCTCGATCTCGCTGATGTCCGGCGCGCCCTTCGTCATGGCGTTGACGAGCGGGGAAACCTTGCCGTTCTTGGAGTCGGCGAAGAACCCGAACGGGGCGGCCAGGAACTTCCACCGCTCCTTATCCCCTCCAAAGTGCGGGGTGCCGAGAAAGATCTGCGTAATGGGTGCAAACAGGCATGTTAATAGGTAGATACAGGAAGCTGGGCCTCGGGGTGACTTGCAATGGTTTTTGTTGCCAGCGCAACTTCCTTGTGCTCGCGCTCCGAGTTGGCAAATGCCATGGCCTGGGCAAGGTTAGTCAACATAGCGGCGACCGTGCTCAGGAGGCTGGCGAGCTCACCTGCTTGACAATGAGGCCCCCGAGGCAATGAGCGAAAAAGACGATGGGCCGCTTGGTTGCTTGTGGGCCCCGCCTGAGAGCCCTCAGCTGGCTCAGCATAGCTCTCGCGTTGTCTCGGATCCCCGCGGCCGAGTTGCTGCGGTAGATGTCGGCGTTGTACCCAAACGACAGAACCCTCGTCTGCGGCTGGATCTCCGGCAGCAAGGTTTGCGGCCATCCCTTGGCGCCTTCCTGGCTACTCCATGTCTGAATTGGGTCCCCATTGAGGCCGTGAACGAGGACGAGACTATGGGTGGCAGTCAGCACGATCCGGTCAGCACGCTCTAATACAAAGTCGGGTGCCAGCGTCTCTGCCGGGGGTTGACGGACTCCACCGAACAGGGCTGCCCCGCCTTGGCGGGATCGTAGAGCTGCTTGAGGATCAATCGCTTCGCCATCTTCGAACGTCTGAGGACATATATCGAGCTTTGATGGAGTGGGTAAAGGGGTTGAGATTGTGCCTGGACGGTCCTGGAGAACTTTGGACTTCCACTTGCGGGTGCAGAATCAAGCGGTTAAATCCTGGAGTGAAGATGCCAGAGAGGCGACGTCCTGAGCTGTGCAATGTACTCAAAGTGAGGCGAGCATGCTTTAGGCGCGTGGAATATACCCTATACCCAAGGAACGCCCGCTCCACATACACGTGTACGTCAGCCATTGTGTGGTGCGGGTACGAGAAGGGAGGTTTCCTAGGTATCAATGGGGTCATGTATGTACGACCTCGCTAGGACTCGTCTACTCACTCCGTCTCAAAGAGCGCTCGCCTCGTTGGGCCGGGCTGCCTGAAGCCCAACTGCTCAAGGCGCTTTAACCGCGCGTAGGCTTTTGGCCACGTCTACAGAGCCAATAAGCAACTACAGGTTCCAACACGTCTCCTGCCACGCGCATCCCATGCCACATGCCCTCCAGTACACAACTTCCACTCGCAGAGTCGAGAGTGGACTGGGTACGTGTGCGCCGTGGCTCCGATTCCAGCCCGACCTGGCGACACACATGAGGCTATATGTCTCCCATGCCCGGCCTGGCTACTTCATGTTGGACGAGATACAAATATATTGTTACCCTTAATGTTTCCATTTTCTGTAACCTCCCAAGCGCATGCCCCTGAGCTCCATCACCCTTGACTTGGCTTTCTCCTCTTCCCAACAAGTCACCATGGCTGATGACGGTCTTGGCGCAATCAACGTACTTTACGAGCCGGACCATCATGACTTCGAGTACGCTATTCCCTCCCCGCCAGGTCCACATTGTGGCCCCTAACAAGCACCCAGCGTCGTGGCCATCCACGGTCTGAACGGCGACTACCTGAAGTCATGGACACACGCAGACTCGACACTCTGGCTCAGGGATATGTTGCCTGGAAAGCTTGCGGGCGCCCGGGTCATGTCCTTTAGCTATGACGCCTCCACCTCCGGCGGGGTTGTATACGCCGTGCGCGAAATCGCCAAGCAGCTTCTGTCGGAGCTCAGGGACGCACGTGAGGTTTGTACCAGCCCTGGCCATCCCCACAGCAGATGGAGCTGACAGCATACCAGGACGCCGGCTCGGAAGGGACTCCGATTGTGTTTGTCTGCCACAGCTTGGGCGGTATCGTCCTCAAACAGGTACGTGCTCGGCTCTGGGCAGGCATCCTATTGGCAGGAACCCCACATTTTGACACCACTACATAGGCCTTGGCCCTCGCGGACGATGGTAAGGCTTACTCGGACGTTGCCGAGTCCACCAAGGGCATAGTCTTCTTCGGGACGCCCCACCGCGGTTCCAACGTGGCCAACTTCATGGGCACCGTCTCCGACATTGTCCAGGCCGTGACCGCGCGGCCCGAGTCGAAGCTCCTCCATGCTCTCGAGAGCAACTCGACCGACCTGTATAAGGTCTCAACGGACTTCCGTCCGTTGGCATCCAGGTACGCCATCACTAGCTTCTACGAGAGCAACGAGCACCCGGTGCTGCGGAAGATGGTCGTCGGCAAGATGTCTGCCGTCATGGGCCTGCCGAACGAGGAGGACGTCATGATGAACGGGGATCACTCGACCATTTGCAAGTTTGGCAAGTGGGATCGCAGGTTCAATAGCGCCTGGAGGGCTATCAAGAGAATGGAAAAGGGCGTGCAGAGCTGATCCGGGCGCAAGGGGGTGCGCAGGGGGGCGTATATCTTTTGTGCAATGTATATGGTATATGACGTACAAACGGTGCAAGATAGGTTCATTGTAGGCTTATCTAAATCTCTGAAAAGAAAGGAAGAAGAAGGCACGCGGTCGGGGGCCTCGTGCATTTTTATCTACAATGATACCCCTGTTGCTGCCGACGGGTGCTCGGTAAGCATCTGCCTGGCACAGCACCGGGTGCCCGTGCAGATCTTCCGTGCCAAGGCCTGGAACAGTGTGCCGGCCCTTGGTGACAGCCTCCTTTGTGACATGGTGACGTATCGGCAGTGTGTAAAGCACTCAATAAAGCTTTTTTTAAGGGCCAGATGTACAGGAGTGGTTAAAATATTCGAATGATCAATCCAAACAAACAAATTCACGTCCATGAGGAAACCGAATTGAGAATGTGGTAACCGCCGCCAATGCTCCTCCGACCAAAAAGAACTAGTCACTCCCTGGCGACTAACCTTCCATTACTTTGGCGATATCATCCGGTGTCTCTGCCGCCATAAGCTTCTCCTCAAGACCCTCGTCCCATCCTTCAAAGTTCTCTTGGAATTCTGGCAGCCTCAGGAACGTGTGGAGGCGCTGGTTGACTTTGATCACTTCCACCTTGGTGTCGTAGAGTTCCTTCTTCAACTTGGCGATGATTTCGATGAGGCTCCTGATCCTCACCCGGGCCTTGTCGATGAAGAGTGGTATCTCCTTCTCAATGTCGACGGCGAGGTAGTGGGATGTGGTGTAGACACTAAGCATGTTCTGGACGTATTGGCCCTTTTCTATCTCGCCGCTCGCGACCTCCTTGTAGTCCTGACCTCCACCCGGCCTCGAATTTTTGAAATCCCCGGCGGGAACCATCGCCTGGTGAAAGTGATGTCAGTCCTGCCATAATTGCAGCGGCCCTGTCCGTCTGATGCAGGGGTTTGGCTTACCCCACTTTCGGCCATGGTGATGACAGCTTTTTTTCCGTGACTCCTGGTTGGATACGAAAGTAGGAGCAATTGTCGGAGTCGATGGTCTCTTGCGCACGTTGGATGAGCTCTGGCGTCCTCGTACGATGAGGCGTGGTCATCTGGCCAAACAATGCCTACTTGTAGAGCCCTATATGTCGATTCGGATGAGGCTTAAAATATCCAATGCCAGCGTCTACATGACCCCAGCTTCCTGAACCTGGCAGCTTTACCTACTTACACGCCCCCAAGGCGGGCGTAAGTCTCGAGTTCTGCAATGGTGCCCAAAGGAGTGCTTCTGCGTCCTTCTGATTGTGACGATAACTCTCATGACCAGTGGTAATGACAGTGGAGATTCTTGCGAAGAGATTAGCGCAACCGCCACGACTAATGATTGAAAGCCGAGTTCCATCTTGGCGAATTTGACAGGTCCTGTCGACGCATCAGGTCTTTCAGCAGCCTTCATTTTTCCGGCGCCTGCAGGCATCAGCGGGACCTCCCTTTCCGCACGCGGTGGCTAGTGGATTGGAGGGGCGAGAGGAGGCTCTGACGTTGGGTAGGTTTCCAAGAAAAGTGTGCCGTCCATGCCAACACGCCGACCCCTGAAAACCAACCGATGAAGTCACGCGCACAACAAAGCGGAGCCTGAAAAGCCTATCGCAACCACCTCCATCTACCAAAGTCAAAAACTGCATTTTCTCCCAGCCTTTCCAAAGCAACAAAGCAAACACCAGTCGCAAGACGCAAGGGAGCCCAAAGCAGCTTCTTCACACGGAGCTGGACCTGCCCCTCCCCTTGGGGTTGTGCATCTTTTCTTCTAGCTCTAGAATCTTCTTCTCGAGAGAGCTCTCGAGCGCGGTCTTGGGCTCCAATGACGGCCAATTGACATCGCCGGGCGAGACGTCCTCCCGGAGCTGCATCTCTAGCCACTTGGTATGCTCTCGGAGGTCCCTGCATCGCCATTTGAGCTCCCAGTTCTTCGTCAGCAGGTCGGCGACGTGGCTCTCAGCCGCTTTCACTCTCCCCTCATACACCACCTCTAGCGCGGTGCGCGGCTTGAGCGGCGGGTCGACCCTGTCGCTAACCGAGATGCTGTCGCGTAGCGCGCTCCTGAGGCGCTGCACCTCTTGTGCTAGATCTCTTATCTGGTACTCCTGTTCCCACGCCAGGGACCGGTCGTGCTGGAGTAGGACCATGAGGTGCCACACGTGGATGAGCAGCCGTTCGGCTCGGGAGTCGAGCTCCAGTTCCTGGTCGATCTCGTGGTAGGCATCCGGGTGCAACTCCTGCCTGATGATTCTGTCGGCCTTGGCGTTGACTTTCTCGTCGTCATCGTCGTCGTCGTCGTCGCCGTTGGCATAGAGGTCGCCGTCGTGGGAGGCGTGTGGGGGGCCCTCGCATGCTGGCTGGTTGGGTTGTCGAGCCATGGCGGTTGGGCCGGGAGGGGATGGGGCCTGACGGTGCCACTTATCCAGGAAAGATGCAGAGGGATGGGAATAGCCGAAGTATGCGCCCGAGACAAGATACCATGCCATTGGGTCAGCGACCATCAGAGCTGGCTTTATGCATTGTTACGTGTCGGACGGACTCGGCCGAATTAATAAAATTGCGGGGAAAAGGGTGCCCAACTTGCAAAGCAGGCTGCTCCCAGGGTTCCCAAGCTTGGCGTCCTTTCACTGGGCAGTGTCCTTTACGTCCCATTCGGTGCGGTCAAGCTCCAGATAGCCGATCTGGCCAATGTCGCAGAATCCTCGATACGTTCACTCGCAGGAACTCGCACTCATGGACCCAAAATGTCTCAATCACACCAACGCATCCTGCACAGTCCCCTTGCTGCAATGCGGATCGGTGCCCAAGTGCTGCTACCAAACAAGAGGAGGGATTCTGGAGCCCCATCCTTTATCGCCTACGGCCTAGCTCGCCTGCGACAGACATAACAGGCTGTCTTACGAGGATTGCCCGCGGCGAGCACCAGAGCACCCACTTGACTGGAGGCCTCCTCGAATCCTACTGGCTCGGAGGGCCTGCAGCCGCTTCGCAATGTAATGGCCTGGGCACTTATCATGGTCGCCTACTCCGTTCGTCGCACACTAATCGCTTTCGAGGCCGAGAGCCAGGGGCATACGTGGCATACGTGGCATTGAGAAGCTCGCGGGGAACACCCACTAGGCCACGTTCCCCCCACGATTCTGATAGCGTTAAGCGAAATGCCTTCGACACGTGGCAGGCGCTTTATTTTCGGCTTATATCGTCCTGTGTCGGCTTGGGCCAGGCTGGAGCCTGCAGGATATGATATCCTAGTGACTCCCCGGCCATGTGACTCTCTGCATAGGCTGGGCATATCATGCTTTGCGTGGGTTGCGGTTGGTTGCCTTGCCTCGGTACCCCGCAGCGAAATGGGGAACTAGATTTGTTGCTCTCCATCAGGACCTAGAATCAAACCGTGATCCGGGTTTCTCGTCAACTGATACGTGTATCTGGGTCTGTGCCTATACCAGTATGTCGATATCTAAGCACGAGAATAATACCCTAGAGGGCGGTCCTATGGCACGGTCATAGATTGCGCTCGCAAGTGGATAGTCATTGCAATTGCTTGGGAACCTTGGGGTCAGGACGAAGATGATTCGAGACACGCCTACGATCCGGCATGAGGACCTTTATCCACAAGATCCACAGTGCTCATATCTCAAGCATTTTCATCCTCAGGACGAAAACGCCTGGGCAAGGGCGGAGTAAGTTGTGATGAGATTCCTACCTTTAACAGTAGTGGCATCAAGGCAAATATTAATAAAGAATTTACAGCGTGATCTTTGTCGCTGGACTGGGAGGTAATTTTATCGGAACGTGGGAAGCCGAGGACAAGACAGTCTGGCCTCGAGACCTCCTACCCAATCATGTCAAAGGCATCCGGATCCGCTCCTTTGCTTACAATACGACTCTGTTCGGCACGACTGGCGAGCTCGGACTCAGGAACCATGCGAACGAGCTAGTATGGAAAATCTTGGAGGAGAGGGAGGATGACGAGGCCGCAATGCTGAGGCCCTTGGTGTTTGTGGGCCATAGCCTGGGCGGCTTGTTGATCAAAAGGGTAAGAGCGCCATACTCCCAAGACGAAAAAAGAGGCTGGTCATGCTGACCGGCAGCGTGAAGGCTCTCAAGGAAGCATACGACAAGCCTAGACTTCGACCTATATGGGAGGCCAGTCGAGGCATCATGTTCTTCGCATCCCCTCAGTACGATATGGACAGCCTCGTGTGGCCCACATTTTCGGACCGCGTGCTGCGCTCAGTTGCGCCGAGACACAAAGAAGGACAGGTCCCAACACAGCGGATGCTGGAGGAGCTGGCGAAAAACAGGCCCTGCATGATGAATATAGGCACGGACTTCAAGCCCCTCCAGCCGCAGTTATCTTATGCGACGCTCTTGGAGGGGGATAACATAGACGGGTACGACATGGTGGTAGGTTTGCGCCGTCATGCCCTTCTGCGCATAAGGTCGGATGCTGTTAACACTCTGGCAGCTCGTCAGTCCGGCCCATGGACTGATCCACGACCCACTGAAAGAGCGCCATAGCATGATGTCGGGCGACCACCTAGCGCTCTGCAAGTTTGCCAAGGAGGAAGGGGAGGAGGCCTCGTTCGGAATCGTGTCAGAGTACATCGAGTGGCTTCTCGCCCAGACGCCTAAAGAGATCGGTTTGCAAATGCCCCGACCACCCCCCTTGCCTCCCACGTCCCTTGCAGCTTACTAACTGCAAGACACAGACACACTCAAGCATTCAGAGAGAAGAGCTCTGTTCTCTCTCTGCGCCGAAGAGTTCCACCTCTCCTTCCTCGACCGGGAGGCCACCCCGAACACCTGCGCCTGGATTGTCGACACCACCGAGTTCAAAGACTGGCTCCATGACACGTCGTCCAAGAAGCACAAGCTGTGGATCAATGGTCCCCCGGGCTGCGGGAAGAGTTATCTGGCGAGGCACATCATCGTGAACAAGGTCATCGACCGCGAGTCGCACGAGGTCATCCACTGCTTCCTCGGCCGGTCCGCGCCTGGACACAGCACGCTAGGGGCGCTGCTGCGATCGACGCTCCACCAGGCCCTGCGGGCTGCCCCCCGCCTTGTCGGCAAGTTCCTGCTGCCGATGTTTGAGGAGGGGCAGAGGCGGAATCCCAGCGACCAAAACGTCTGGTCGGAGGGATTTCTTGTGGGCATGTGGGCCGACGCCATGGCCGAGGTGACAGCCCTCCGTCCTTTGGCGTTTGTGATTGACGGGCTCGACGAGATGGACGAGCAGTGTCGAACCGGATTCCTCGCCCGCCTGCGCGAGCTGGAGGCAAAATCCCGGTCCCTGGCGACAAAGTCCGGGTCCGCAGAACCCAAGTTCAAGCTCCTCCTCCTCTCCCGTGAAGACCCACAGCTGGAGGTGGAGTTGAGCTCGCTTGGTTTTGTGAGCCGCAGGGTCACGCCCGAAGACACCAAGGAGGACGTGGAGCGCACCGTCGCGGCGGGCCTCGCCACCTTCTGGAAAATCTTTTGGGTAACCACCTGCGAGAACCTCAGCGGCGCCGACCGGATGGAGATATACGATATCATCATCCGGCAGTCCGGGGACACGTACCTCTGCGCCGCTCTCGTCGTTCAATACCTATGCCGCATCCGCATGAAGAGCAAGGCTGATCTCAAGCGCAAGATCAAGGAACTCCCGCGCGACATTGGGGGACTCTACGGAAAGATGGTGGAGCAGCTCTTCTCGAGGACGAGATTTGTGCCGTTCGCCAAGCAGGCCCTGTCGTGGGCCATGTTCCAGAGGCGGCGGCTCAAGACGGCAGAGTTCAACGTCGCGCAGGCCTTGGGCCTGGCCCTGGACAAGCACAAGGGGCCGAATGTTCCCACCCACGAGGAGCTACAAGAATTCCTCGAAGACAGCATCGAGATCAAGCAGGATCATTGCTGTGGGCACCTCGTCAAGTTCCAGGGGGGACGGATGGAGTGGGCCCACGGGAGTCTCCTGCTGTACCTGCTGGAGCAGGGAGGCGAGGGATCTATCCTTGCCGGCCGCGGCATCGACAAGCACGCTTCCCATGCGGCCATGGCGCAGGCCTGCATCACGTACCTCAACATGGAGTACTTTGCCGATTCGGGCGCGCCGCGGGAGCCCGGCAGGATGGACCTATGGGAGGCCAAGGTTCGGAGGCTGGTGAAGAAGCACCCCTTCGTCCGGTACGCGGCCCTCAACTGGCGCAGCCACCTCGAAGACGCCGGCGCCGCCGCGTGGCGGGCCCACAGCGGCACCCCCGAGTCCCACGCCCGCTCCGTGCGGTGGAGGGAGCAGCTCCTGAGCGGCGACAGCGAGCACGCCAAGTCCTGGTCCGAGGTCTGGTGGTTCTTCACACGGGGTCCTTCGGAGGATTATCCGGACAGGTGCCTGACGGCACTGGCTGCTGCCCACAGGAAGGCCGCTCCGGATCTCGACATGCCCTGGACGGCATCGCCGGGAGAAACGGAGTTGGAGGCGCAGGAGGAGGCGCTCGATTCCAGGGACGCGACGCCGAGCCCCCAAGCCATATCGCCGAGCTCAGACGACGATTCACTGCTTCCCGAACCGGGCCTGCTGCTCTCCAAAGTCATGTCATCGGGGTCCGGAACAACGTCGTCGGGCTCCGAAGATGGCTCGACGCTGTTCAAAGTCACGTCACCAGATCCTGAAGCCATGTCACTGAGCTCCAAATCCGGCTCGCTGCTCACCAAAGCCACGTCGCGGGGCTCCGGAAAGACGGTGCCGGGCTCGGAGGCCGCTGCGACATTGTCCAAAATTGCGACGTTAAATCCAGAAAGTATGCCGCCAAGCTCGACATCGGCCTGGCCGTCTTCCAAAATGGCATCGTCGAGCTCCGGAACTACGGCGCCAGGCGCTAAAGCGGCCTCGATTGCCCACAAAATTCCGTCGATACGTCCAAAAGCTATACCACCAAGCTCCGGGTCCGCGTGGCCATCCTCGAAAGTCACGTCGCCAGACCCAGAGGCCACATCGCCGAGCCCTGTAGACATGTCGCCAATATCCGAACTGCCTTCATCGACAACCAGGGGAATCTCGGCCCATTTGCATATTCCTTTGCCAGCCTTGGGGACGCCTCCGCAGGCCGCGGCGGCCGACCGGGACCTAGGCGCCCATTACCTCTGTAATAACACGCGGACCCATCACACTCATTCGCAGGGCATCGACCGGGAGGGTACAGACACGCATACTACCACCCAGCTGCAGGGCAGAGACAGCCACACTGTAACCCAAACAAACTCAAACCTCCACACCAACACGAAAAAGAATGGATGGCGGCAGAGGGTGAAAAAAGCCCTAAAAGGCGTTGGGCAGGCGGGGAAGCTTCTAGGTGCGTACACCATGGTTATCGTGCTGTAGCTTGTATACGAAGAAAGGACGCATTCTAACGTTTTGATCGGTAGTGAACGAGGCTTTAGTCGTAGGGCCACAGGATCGGAAAGAGTCGGAGGAAATCCGCCAGGAGATAACGGTAACTAGGTATTGAATTGTCGGGCCGACGACGGCGGGTCAGGATTCGAGGAAGGCGGAAAAAAATGCGGCGCGACAGGGCCGCCTAGGACTTGCCACCTCTTACAGCTTTCAAGGGGGGCGCAGACATGGTGAGGCCCGCCGTGATGATGGGCTTCGTCGCCGGTGGATCCTCCGCCGACCTGAGGGGCGAGGGTGGCGGGAGCTTCCGGCGAAGAGGTAGTAAAAAGTCACGGGGACGGAGGGCACCTCCAGAGAGGAAGTCCGAGGACAGAGGAAATTGTATAAAACCAGGCAAGTCACTTTTGCAGTCACAAGCCTGGCCCGCACCTGGCACGCACCTGGCTGGACGCGAGGCCATGTTCAGGCACCCCTGGTGGGTGCTCTGCCTTGCTCGTAACTTTGAACGAAATGTATTGCATGTTTCTTCCGTTCTAGAAACGAAACGCCAGCAACGTGATGACCGATGCTCCCAGACTTTCGCTACCCAAACCTAAGCGCCGACGCTTATAAAAGACCAAAAAAAGCAAATCCAACCAGCGCCATGCAGAAACCCAAGACAGTGAGAGACATAAGGAGTGATGTGAACAAAAGAAACTCAAAGAGAACGCAGCACAAACACCTTGTTGTGCTCCAAAGGAGAGACATGAGAGAGATGGCACTTACGCCCCGCTCTACTGCTGCGCCGCCTCGTACTGGTCGACGACGGACGCGATGGTGTCGCGGATCTCAGCCTCGGAGAGGACGGGCTCGTCGCGGGCCTGGATGCCCGAGAGGTCGCGCTGGCCAATGCCGAGCCACGGCAGAACCTGGCCGGCGAGGTTGGCGATCGCGTTAATGGCGTTGGTCTTGCTGCCAAACTTGCGGCGCTCGAGGCTATCGAGATCGCGCTTCTCGGGGCCACCGGTCTGCTGCTGCTCATACTGGTCAACCACGGAGGCGATGGTGTCACGGATCTCGGCCTCGGAAAGGACAGGCTCGTCGCGGGCCTGGATGCCCGAAAGGTCGCGCTGGCCGATGCCGAGCCATGGGAGGACCTGGCCAGCAAGGTTGGCGATGGCGTTGATGGCGTTGGTCTTGCTACCAAACTTGCGGCGTTCAAGGCTGTCAAGATCACGCTTCTGGGGGCTGCCGCCCTGCTGCTGCTGCTCGTATTGATCAAACACGGAGGCGATAGTATCGCGCACCTCGGCCTCGGAGAGGACGGGCTCGTCGCGAGCCTCGAGGCCGGCCGCGCCCTCGACGCCCGACAGGTCGCGCTGGCCGATGCCGAGCCAGGGCAGGACCTGGCCCGCCAGGTTGGCAATCGCGTTGATCGCGTTGGTTTTGCGGCCGAATTTGCGGCGCTCGAGGTGGGCTTCGCCGTCGCCGCCGGCCTCGGCCAGGCCGTCGAGGTCGCGCTGGCCCAGGAACGGCAGGACCTGGCCCGCCAAGTTGGCAATTGCGTTAATAGCGTTGGTCTTGCGGCCGAACTTGCGGCGCTCGAGGCTATCGAGGTCGCGCTTCTGGTTGGCCTGCTCGTACTGGTCGAACACGGAGGCGATGGTGTCGCGGACCTCGGCCTCGGACAGGACGGGCTCCTCGCGGGCCTCCAGACCGGCGGCGCCCTCGACGCCCGACAGGTCGCGCTGGCCCAGGAACGGCAGGACCTGGCCGGCGAGGTTAGCGATCGCATTGATGGCGTTGGTTTCCTGCCGAACTTGCGGCGCTCGAGGTGGGCCTCGCCGTCGCCGCCGGCCTCGGCCAGGCCGTCGAGGTCGCGCTGGCCCAGGAACGGCAGGACCTGGCCCGCCAGGTTGGCAATTGCATTGATGGCGTTAGTCTTGCGGCCGAACTTGCGGCGCTCGAGGTGGGCCTCGCCGTCGCCGCCGGCCTCGGCCAGGCCGCCGAGGTCGCGCTGGCCCAGGAACGGCAGGACCTGACCCGCCAAGTTGGCAATTGCGTTGATGGCGTTGGTCTTGCGGCCGAACTTGCGGCGCTCGAGGAGCGCCGCCTCGTCGTCCTCGCCGGCGGCCAGGTCGTCGTCGCTGCCGCTGACGTCGCGCCTGCTGACGGCGGCGGCCAGGGGCTGGAACTTGGCGGGCCCGGACCAGGTGATGGGGCGCACGGGGCGGCCAAGGCGCGGCGGCCACGCGCCGGGGTTGGGAAGGACCATGCGCGCCTCGACATTGGCCTGCTGGACAATGGCCCGGACCGCATCCTCGACGGCGGGCTCCGGTTGGGTCGGGGCCGCCATAATGGGCACGGCCACGGCCAGGAGGAAGGCGCCGAAAGTCTCGTACTTCATTGTGGCGGTGTGTTGCTGTGGATGGGCTGCCTATATGTGCACGTGGTGGGGCTAGTAGATTGCTGGTCAGCTAATGGACTGCTCGAACTGCTTGTTGCCAATGCAATGGGATATTGCTTGGTGGTGAGTCGAAGGCGGGGATGGATGCGGCGCTGTTAGTATGCTAGAAAGAGGGAGATGGAGGAGCTGGTAAAGACTGCTTCGTGGGGTTGGTGGCGGGGTTTGCGTGGTGAGAATGTTGTTACTGGAGATGTTGTTTGTTGGTGATGATGCAGGAACAGAAGTCCGACCTCAAAACCAGAGTCCGGATGGAATCTTCTTATGTGCCTCCCGTCGGTAAGAAAACCAGTAAGCCGCCCAGGCCAGTGCATGGGCAACGGCCTGCGCAGCGGCCGTCGAGGCATGTCTGCTTCGTCTCACAGCCAGCGCAAGCAGGCGTTTCTTGGCAGCACGACGCCATCTCCACCCTCAGGGTGCCAGCTTACTCTGAAGCAACAGTGTCGTGGGAGCAAGCCGCCGTGTTCCTCCTTCGCTTCGCGGGAGCCAATGCGGAATGGGGGAAGGCCTTGCCTCGCCGGCGCGCATGGAAACAGCGAGTGTGGCTGACCCCCCCTGTCAGGGGCCAAAGCAGGGCCAGCAGGGCGCGCTGGCGTTTGACTCAGCCACGCCTGCAGGCGCTTGGCTCAGCCCTATACGATCCCGTTGTGATATTCGACGAGTTGGATCACAGTCCTTACTGTGACGCCAAATCACTGCACGTGTTCCATTTTGATCGGGGCCCATTGGCTGGTGATCTGCGCACCTTCTAGGTTGTCGCGGCGTCTGCTAGTCGATACTGGCGGGGACGGATGTGGATACGATTGGCAACCAGGACTTGCTTGCATCGACCACCACCCAAAACCCAAATTCCCAGGCCTTTCTACCACCCCAGGCCAGCAGTCAGATCAAATAATAGGTCCCCGGCGACCGTGCCGCTTGCCTCGCCGGCCGCATCAGCTAAAAAAATTTGGATTGGAAACTCAACCCATCGAAGCGATTGCTGCTTACTGCTCCAGGGTACCTTACCCTGCATCCATCTTTTTAGCATTGAGGTGTGGCGCGGTGCGGCCTTTGTGTTCCAAGGTGGCAGTGCCGAGGACCCCACTAGCCAAACCTAATTACACTCGCTTCCAGACACTGTAATTCTCCGTCGTTGCAACCATATCACGTCAAATCCACTGATGGATCCCGGTTTCTGGCTGGCTTTTGGCGCGGGCGATGCTCAAGCAACCTGCAAAAAACAATGTGTGTGATGCACCTCAACCATTTTTACCAAGTTCAAAAAACAACGTATGCATGCATGCTCAATTTCTCGCCGCCGCATTCCTTCTGTTGGGGCTTGCTGAGTCCCACCCTAGCGCCAAATGTTAGTGGTCCGCAGCTGGCCGCAGGATCAACCTGCGTCTGACGCTGACAGAGAGCCCAGGGCAGCTTCCACATTATTTTGACCCGCTTCCAGCTTGGGAGTACTGGTTGCGCTTTGAACCAGCTTGAAAATGTCCACAGCAGCGAGCCTCTCAAACTTATCCATACCTATTTTAGCGAATTGTCTCGCTGGCCATCAGTGGTCGTCCCAAACGGACCCTAGCCTTATTACCCCGCAGTAATTAGGCCGGAACGTGTTCCACTGTGGGTGTGGGGACCTCTTCTAGAAGTTCTTCTTGGTCACCGATCCTTGGGAAAGTTGGGTTAGTCTTGAATTGCTGATAATTAACCAATATTCCACTGCCCCCATTCTCCAACCAGTAGGTTCAATTGCTATGGTTCTTGTTAACTCCTTCGTCTGGAAGCGAGGTAGTTTACCTTAGTATTCTGCTCATACGGGGTTTGGTTCGGATCCGGTGCGGATTTCTGCTTCGGTAATAGCTCCGCCTGGATTTGAACTGTCCCTTGACCATAACTGAATGAAAGCAGATCTTGTGCTTGCATCTCTGAGTAAAGCTCGGGACTTATTGTTTCAAATCTTCTATAGTCCAAAATTGCCGTGGCCTATTTCAGCGAGACACTCCCCATAGTTTAGGCGAAAAGATCTTGATGCCAGATCCATAACGCGGCCAGAAGGTGCAGACAACGTAAAAGCTGCACGCCCGAAGTTGTTCCAGGGCCGAGCGGCGGAGCGGACTTAGTCGTATGTGCGCGTATCCGAGCAGATGAAACCACGTGGCCTGATACGGCCTTGGGCGAAGGAAGCTCAGAGTTGGCGAGTCAAAACGCCCTCGAGGCTCGGCGTTGACACAGCTAACCAAATTCAGATCAGAAGGCAAAATGCGGCTTCCAGCGAATTCAAAGGCGAAGATAACGGCCCGCTTAGGTCGACAAGCGGCGGTCAGTACGTGGTCGGTGATGACATGCGAATCTCCTTCAAAACTGACGCGTCCAGAATACCAGGACCTTGGGTGGGTGGCCTCGGTGGCGTCCTCCACCGGCGTCTCGCTGCTGCCGAGATATCCGCTGGGGGCCCGCGGCTCGTATGCGCCATAGCGCCCAAGAAACCCGTAGCTCAGCCGTGCAAACCTGCCGGGGTCGACCTTTTCCAGAAAAAGATACATGTCTGGATTATGGAGAGGTTTACATTGGCCTGGATGTTGTGTTTCGATGATCTTCAGGGCGTAGCATCTCCCACCAGACTCGAGTTTGAGGACTTCCATTATAGCATCTCGGATGAACAGCCCCGCATTCTCCATGGTAAAGGAAGACTGCTGTGCGCCCAGCCCTCGAAGCGTTGCTCCTCTGACCTTGGCGCATTCGCAATGAATTATGGGCCAGAAGTCGGCCGGCGATCGAGCAAGGAGCGAGCGGTATGGGCTTTGACCCCCGTGATTCCCCCGGCAGTTGCGGCTTTTTGCTCGCTCGCCCGGGTTGTCCCAGGAGAAGAAGATGCTGAGATCATTGGACTGTTTGATGATCTCCTGTTGCAGGCGCAGAAATGCTTTGCTGCTTTCGCCGTAAAGCAACGGCATGTTGACGTCGAATATGCCTAGCAAGCAGTAGGCAAGGTCCTTTACCCTGGCCGTTGCCCCGTTTGCCGCCCATGACATCCTCGTGGCTATGGGGGTCCCCGCCAGTACTTCGGAAATGTCTTTGGCAGAGTGCAAAACGTGAACGGGAATCGTGGTGATGGTTACGACCAGGCTCTTGAACACGCGCCTTGTACCGACGGTGGCCCACGTCTGATCGAGGAATATCAAGGACCTCGGAGCGACAAGCTCCTGCAGACACCAGCCGCGGGTAAACCAGTGGCAACCGCGGAGTCGCGTGTCCACGTCGGCGTCCGCTTCGAGATCGGCGAGGTAGGCGTAGCAAGCCTGAGCGCCCTTGTACCATTTGAACATGGAGTTGATGGACTCGCTGAGCTCGGTGAGATCGCTCTTGTTGATGCAGCAGGTGTCTATCCAGATGTGTAAGCATGGCCACTTTTGGCCATGGTCTCGCAGGCTCGTTTGATCTTGTTGAGCCCGGGATGGCTGCTCCAAGCCTCGGAAGAACGCATTTGATCCGAGTCCATGACCCGCGTCATTTCCTGGAAGTCGGCCTCCTGGCCTTCGACCCAGGTATGTGATAGGATTGCATATGGGGGAGTCGAGGTCTCGCTACTGAAGACGCTCATGCGGACGTCTATGAGCCGGGTAGGCATTTTGATGGGGTGATGGGGGTAGGGGGTAAGCAAAGATTTTTTTGGCAGGAAGGGTTTAAATACAAAATGCTTGTATTCGTTAAAGGATCGCTGTACGGGCTTCTTGTGAAAGTGCTTGGTGTTCGGGCAGGCTTGGTGAAGATGCGGTCAGGAGTACCCTCACCTCGCCGTTGCTGCATCAAACATATCAACCTGTCTTGCGCCGCATGTACATGCGCAGCTCTGGCATTCTCTGTGGCTGTGTCGCCTGGACTGGAGCGTGGCTGCCGGGCTGCTGACTATTCTTGTTCTCCCCGATAGCAACATGTCGAACGCCCAGCAGCTAGCTTCCCGATCGCTCCAGAGAAGCGACGCGACCCGAGGCGAGCTCCTGGGCAATTGTGGGGATGAGCCAACTGCACGGTGGGGATGGCAGTTGGGACAACTCCGGGGCGTAATCACGGAACGACCACCTCACACCGAGATTTAAGTGCTGTCCCATCAACGAAGCCTGACCTCGGCTCAAGGGTGCCGGCGAGGGCCCACCGTCGCCCCGACCTGCCCCCGTCTGGCGGTCCCGTCTTTCCACGCAGCTCCACGAGCCTCCCTGCCACCCCTCGATTTCCCCGTCCAATCCCCACGAAATCGTGCGTGATGGGGCGAGTCATGCACACCCGCGATGCGACGCCAGCCACGCGACATGCAATTCAAAAAGGGAGACTGGCCGTTTTTTTTTTTGCGCTCCTTTCGACCTGCGTCCGATGCTGCCGTCCTGCACCTTGCGCTTCCTTAAGCTTATCCAGTCTGTCGGAACGCTCGACGACATCTGCCCCTGACCCACTCACGTCCAGGCCAACACCCAGCAGACCCAGGACAAACGCGTCAAGATGGGTGGTTTCAAGGCGGTCGAGGATCGGCCCACGCCCAAGGAGGTGTACAACTGGCGGCTCTACACAGAGTCGTCCATCATTGCCGTCGGATCCTTCCTGTAGGTCGTCCCGATTCCTGTGCCATGTCGCCCGCTGAGGAAAATCGCCCGCTGACCGCCCCGACCAGGTTTGGATACGACTCTGCCTTTGTGGGCACTACCATCGCGCGTGCCAGTTTCAAGACCGACTTTGGCGTCACCAGCGCCAACAGTAACAACATCTCGAGCAACATCACCTCGGCCTTTCAGGCTGGCGCGTTGGGCGGCGCTCTTGCATCCTTCATGAGTGGGTTTCCATGGCCACATGCGGGCATAGCACAGCGCAGTCCACGTGATAATCAATAGCAGTGCTGCGCTAACCACAGCTTTCCATGCTAGTCACCGAGTATGCCGGACGGAAATGGGCTCTGAACACCAGCTGCGCCATTTTCCTCATCGGTGCCATATTGATGACGGTGGCCACGAACCAGCTTGACTACATCTGTAAGCGTCACCCGCCTGCCGAGCTCCCACCGTGCCTAGTCCAGCTGTGCTCGACTAACGCTAGAGCGAAGATGCCGGCCGTGCCCTGACTGGCTTCGGCTGCGGCATCATCACCGCCACTGTGCCGAGCTACATCGCCGAGCTTTCAATCCCCTCCATCCGCGGCATCTTGACTGGCCTGTTCGAAATCACGTACCAGGTCGGGTCTCTGATCGGCTTCTGGATCAACTATGGCATCAATAACACCATGGACCCCAAGTCCTCCATGTCGTGGCGCGTCCCAATGGCCGTCCAGATCCCTCCCGCGGCCCTGCTCTTGGTTGGAGCCTTTGTTCTGCACGAGAGCCCGCTCTGGCTGCTGCGCAAGGGCAAGGATCAGGAGACGTACAAGGCTCTCGAGGCGTTGCGAAAGCTGCCGATTGACCACCAGTGTACGTTCTTTTGCGCCCGGCTGCTCCAGTGGCATACGGTGAACTAACGGTTTGCCGATAGATCTCCAAGAGGAACTTCAGATGATGCGCGCAAGGCTTGCGGACGAGGCCGCTATTGCGGGCAGGTACGGAACTGGCACCATCGCCTTCATCCGTGGAGCCATGCACGAGTTTGCGCAGAAGGGAATGTACAACCGTATCATTCTCACCTTCTGCGCCTTTGCCCTCCAGAACATGTCGGGCGCTGCTGGTATGAGCAATCCCTGCTCCCTGGGTGCCCATCGGTCGTTTTGGAACTTTTGCTGACCGGCACCTACTTGAAGCCATCAACTACTACTCGCCAACCCTGTTCGGCTCGCTTGGCATAACCGATGTCGCGCTCTACACCGGCATCTACGGACTCGTGAAGGGTTAGTGCCTGACTTCTTGCGCTTAAGTGCATACCACCGCTACGGACTTCGCTAACAGCCTCTATCTAGCCGTCGCGTCCATCATCTTCTACATCTTCCTGATTGACATCTGGGGACGAAGGCAGCCAACCATCATCTCGTCGCTGGCATGCTCGCTGTGTCTCTGGTTCGTCGGCGCCTACGTCTTTGTCGGCAACCCCGCCGCCACCATCGCCGCGGGAGGCACCCTGTCCGAATCCACCGCTGCGGGTGGCAAGGCCGCCACTGCCATGATCATGGTCTACTCGGTCTTGTAAGCTCTAATGCCCCTCGGTCGGATCCCTTTCCTACCCGCCCACTGCGAGCTGCTAACACTCCCGCAGCTGGTCCTTTGGTCTCAACGGCATCCCCTGGATCGTGTCGGCCGAGATCTTCCCCGGAGCCCTGCGCAACATCACGGGCACGTTCGCCGCCCTGTGCCAATGGGCCACCCAGTTCGCCATCACCAAGGCCCTGCCATACATCTTCAGCTCGCTCGGCTTTGGCGTCTGGTTCTTCTTTGCATGCTGGATGCTTCTCGCCACCGTCTGGGCCTTCTTCCTCCTGCCCGAGACGAAGGGCCTCACCCTCGACCAGATCGACGGCATTTTGTATGTGTTTCGTACTGCAATCCTTGCATGCAATGCCATTCTTCAGGCCACTAACGTTTTTCCTACCTCGCAGTGGCTACATCGGCGACCGGCGCAGCGACCTGGCCGAGGTGACCCCGGCCAAAAAGTCTCTTGACGAGGAGCAGGTGCAGGACAAGGCCCAGGCTACCGAGCACGCCGAGAGTAGGCCTTGAAGTTGTTACATCTAGCCCTGGCGCTGGCCTGCGAGGCTTGTGCTTTGGCAAAACATGTCTACCCAGGCTCCAACAGTCGAACTGGATGTAGTGTAGTTCCTCTGCAAATAAATAATCAGGGTGCACTGAAGAACCCCATGGTGCGGGCACAATCGAACTCCTGCTATGCCCGGCATCGGCTTAGTTTTTCGCTGTGATGACAACTCTAGCCAGGCCGATAGCTAGGTTCGATCCTACCTGGGGGAGAGGACGTCGTCTCGGGTTCGCTCGCTCCCAACGCCAGTGGGAGTGGGAAAGCTCGCTCGCCTGGACAGCCCTCGCGGTTACGGAGGCGGTCTCTGCCGGGCCGCGAAAAGCGCCAACCAAAATTTAGGACAGTGCATGCTAACTGAGCGAGGCGATCAACTTGGTGCAGTCTTTTGCCTGGTACCTCGACGCCGCAGCCTGCTTTGGGTACCTGGAGGATGTCGGCGCGTGGCGCATCCAAGTCGGTTGACGAGCCGGACGGTATCGGTATGATGCGGCTGACCGGCCGGCTTCGCCCGCGACGACGCTTCACGTGTGGCTGTGCGATGCAAGAGCTCCCTGCGCCGCACAAAATTGCATTCTCCGTCCTGGAGCACGATAGCACAAAGCACATGGTATGCCCGAACTCCCCACGACGGAGCCGCCCTAGCTCTGCAGTCTACCGGAACAGTCCGATACGGGGCGCGGTAAGCGGCGTGTCGGCGTGTGCAAAGAACAACCAATTGGCCACCATTGTGCGGGTATGGGAGCCACAGGAAGCCCCATAACGCTGGCCAACAAGGGCACCTGCATCACGGGCCGTGCTGTGGCCTTCCATATGGACAAGCACTATCTCCGACGGCGGGTCATTGCGGCTGTTTGCCTACCGACATTTGTGGGCAGCCCGTTTGGTGGCTATCCCGCACTGCCTCAAGCGGCCGTTTCTAAAGGTTCCTTGCGCTTCCGAAAAGCCAGTTACAGCGTTGGTGCCTACAGGTGAGTGGATGCTAGTGGAAAGGGGGGACAAACCAGCTGGGCCGACTATTCTCCCTTGCAGCGGTCGGTTGGTAAAGAAAGATTTCCGCTAGTGCCCCTCTAGAACTCCCTTCCAGCACAGGAACAAACCAAGCCTTCCGCCAGCACATTGTTTGCCCAAATCCAGCCCGTTCTCCGACGTTACGACCCGGACGCCAACTATGGGCAAACGGAAACCCTAGGCATATGATGGACGCTCCATTGGAGATTGAGAACAATGCATCTCGTTTCGGTTGGCTTCTTCCACTTTTGGCCGCGAGAAATATAAAGCGACGGCGCCACCACAAGATCGATGCAGACACCGTCGGGCACCATTCACCCAAGCGCACTACAACATCGCCACCTCCTGAACAATATTTGAACACCACTCCGCCCATATAGACACGAGACGCAGATTGCACAAGTCTCGTCTGACGACAAGGACAGCGAAGACAGCAAAGGAGTCTACCAAACCTCCATGATGGATCCCTCCTCAGACGACCTTGCAGAGCAGCTGAAGCTGTTGACCCTGGCCGCGGACAGCAACGACTTGTCCGAGCTGCAGACTGTGCCAATCTTCACAGCCCAGGTCCGCAAGCATGCGGAGCACATGAAGGCTCCCACGGATCTTGCCGATGGTCGCCTGGCCGGCCAAGGGGTCTTTACCCAGTACGGCTTGCTGGCGGCAGACGCTGGCGCTGATGTTGCAAAGGCGCGTAGCCCCGGCGACAAACATGACTCCCGAATCTTCTACAACATCGCGGCTCCATCGAGCATCTTCGTCTGTGGCAGTCAAGGCTCAGGCAAGAGCCATACGCTCTCCTGTCTTTTGGAGAATTGCCTCTTCCCTTCGGCGGCCAATGTCTTGCCGCGGCCGCTCACGGGCATCGTCTTCCATTACGATACCTTCATCACGGACGGCGGAGGCGAGCCGTGCGAGGCGGCCTACCTCGCGTCCAACGACGGCATCAAGGTCCGCGTGTTATGCGCCCCGACCAACTACAATACGATGAGAGTAAGTCATACCCCTGCCCGGCAACCTTGCCTCCCTGTGACGCCCATGTGACCTGACACTCGCCCGTGTAGGAAGTCTACGCCAAGATACCCGGCGTGACGGTTCGCCCGCTGCGCCTCGACCAGAGGGACCTGAACACGAAGAGAATGATGGGGTTGATGGGGGTTGATGATAGCAACGGCATCCCACTGTACTTGCACGTGGTCCAACGCATCCTCCGGGAGCTAAGGATGGAGCATCAGGACCGTGGGGCAGCCGAGGGCGGTCAATCACAACCTTTCCAGTATGCCGAGTTCAAGGAAAGGCTTGGGCAAGAGGCGTTGACCCCGGCGCAGGAGGCGCCGCTCAAGCAGCGACTGGACACGCTTCAGAGCTTCCTTGTGCACAAGCAGGCGTACTCGCAGACCTCCTTGACCACGGCAAGGAGAAATATCCCCAAGAGTGCCCAAGACGATGTTGGCACAGACTGGACGCCGCAGGTGCGCACAATCCCTTTCTTTCCCATCCCTAACACCCACCTTTCGCGGTTCTTTCCATTCCACTAACAACACGGATGATCCCCACCGACAGGCCAGCCAGCTGACTATCGTCGACCTTTCTTGTCCGTGCGTCAAGGCGGACACGGCCTGCTCCCTTTTCAACATCTGCCTAAGCCTCTTCCTGGAGCAGGGGACCAAGATCGGCCGCGTGGTTGCGCTGGACGAGGCGCACAAGTACTTGGGCGGCGCCAACGGAGCCCCGGCCGAGTCGACTGATGCGCGCGCGCTAACCGAGTCGCTCTTGTCCACAATCCGGCTGCAGCGCCACCAGGCCTGCCGAGTCATCATCGCGACGCAGGAGCCGTCCGTATCCCCGGCACTGCTCGATCTGTGCTCCGTCACCATCGTGCACCGATTCACGTCGCCCGCGTGGCTCAAGGTCCTCAAAGACCACCTCGCGGGCGCGGGCGCCGAGTCTGCCGCCCTGCCGGGGAAGACGGAGGAGGAGAAGGGAGACGGGCGGGACGGGACGGCGGCGGCGCTGTTTGCGCAGATCGTGGGGCTGCGCGTCGGCGAGGCGCTGCTCTTCGCCCCCAGCGCCGCCGTGGGCGTGTACGCGGACGGCGGCGCCGGCGACGACGGCCGCGTGTTCCGATGCCTGGGCGGCGGCGTGCGCAAGGTGCGCATCCGCAACCGCGTCACGGCCGACGGCGGCCGCAGCATCATGGCCGCCTGAGGCCGCCGCGCAGACTGCGTGTCGAGTGAAGGGGACCCAGCCGTCAGAATGGTCCGGTCTAGGCTGGAGTATTGTGGGTTCCTCTGTGAAGTCGGTGTCGGGGGGAGATGGTTTGGCTCTGTGGCTTGGTCGACTGCTTCGATGGACTGTCAGGAATGCTTGGACCGGATCTCTGTAAACAGCCCCGCTGCTACTGCGCAGCTTGGATGCGTGCTACTCCTTGTACATAAAACATAGTACGCTGGACAGCTTTTCACTGTCACGTCCCCGATGTCGTGTCCGCTGTCTTCTTGACCACAGTAACCTTGGTGTCCGAGCCTCTCCCGGTCGACTCTGCATCACTGGGCGTTCCATCCTCCCCGCTACTGGTGACTGCGGTCTTGTGTGCCTTGTTTGATGTTGAAGCAATGGCTGTTGGCAAGATACCGAGCTAGTACCCAGCGGCGACCAGTCTGGCCGTGAGGGTGCCGAGGTTCAGGTCGGTGTAGAAGAGGCCGTCGCGGGGGGCCATCTCGTGGCCGCAGTACCACGAGCCAAGGACGTAATGTATGGCCGGAAAGAGGACGACCTCGAAGAAGCCGACGAGCAAGCTGTGGGTGGCCATCTCGCCAAAGCTGTAGGCGCGGTACTGTAATAGGGTAAACAGCCCCCCACATGATGTCCATGAAGGGGATGGACCAGTACATGGGGATGTAGGTGAAAGGGAACATGAAGGGCACCATGCCCACGACGGCGCCAACCGTGTATATGGTTTGCAGCTGCAGTAGGGGACGACGAGCGGGTCCAGCTTGGCGGCCGTCAGGGCTCGGGGTGTGGCGCAGGCGGAGAACGGCTTAAACTACACTTATGGGCCCACTGCTCCGTCAAAAGAGGCAACTGTGTACTTTCGACAGATGCCAGCAATCTCTTTCGGCCAACGCTATGGCAGCCTGCCTGTTTGCTGTTGTATTGTTGCAAAATTAGTTGATTTGGGTCGAGAAAGTAATAATTCTTCTTGCACTCATCCTTTTATGACGGGAGTTATCGAACCAGAATATTGAGCACGCCACGGCGTTGGCGCGCCTAGGCATCCATCCCCGGGCCCACTTTGCGTCCCACATACGGACAGGACACAGGACGGAGGCCGCACGACTCTCCCTGGCTGCGAATAATTACGGGGTAGGCTGCATCGCAGGGGCGTAAGGATCAACTACAATCATAAATCCGGGCAGGGAACGTCGTTCTTGTTTCTCGGCGTTTGTTACACAGTACACGCATCCTGTCGGCTTGTCGCTGAGCACTCTGCAGCGCCTGGGCCGCTGCGAGTCCGAGCCCTGGCGGGGTCGCAGCCCCCCGCGAAAAACTCCGTCTCCTCGAATCGACAGACACCAAGGACATGGCTGCGTCCCAGCCAAGCGATGAGCAGGTGGCAGCCACTGCCCAGGCGATGGCGACTGTCTCCGATATGGAGAAGTCCCAGCGGCGGGCAAAAACTCTACTACAAGAGCTGCAGAGCTTGCTTGAGCGGACTACGCTCGGCGGCGGGGCAAGAATTAGTAGGGAGCGAGACATTGCCGGAAGCCACGACTCTCCCGACGCCGACGAAAACGGCCAGGACAGTCCACGGGTCTCAATGCCACTCGATGCTGCCACGGTGCGGTCACAGCCAAACTCGGTGAATGGGCTCGGGCCCCTCTACAGACGGATCGAGGCCGAGATGCGGGGCCACGAGAAGGCCCTGGAGGAGTTCAAGGCACAGTTTCCAGGCGTACTGGCGGCCAGCGATTCTGCCAAGGGCGGATCCAGCGCCGGCCTCTTGGTAGACGAGCTTGCCGTAGCGGAGAAGAGAATCCGGGGACGCATTGACTGCTCAAACCTCGCATCCGCAGAAGCGCAGTGGGACATTATCAAGCGATGCCGTGACCTCAAGGCCGTCGGGCAGAAGTTTGAGAAGGGGAGCCAGCAAACCGCGAGGCAGGAAGGCCATGAAAGAAGGTACAAGCACACAAAAGAGGTGGCTCTTGTCGACGCCGTCGTGGACGGCGGAGAGACGTGGCTGCGTGTGCTAGGAATCACCGAGTCACGTCTGTTGCACGAAATGGCCGAAGCTGGCTGGGACTGGGGCAGAGGAGGTCGTGAGGAGGGCGCACATGGGCCCCAAGCCATAACGGGTAGTGCTAGCTCGGAGGATGAGGGCGAGGACGACGACATGGGCACAATATCCGTCATCCAGACCGTCCAGGGACTCATGCAGGCGGCTAGATGCCGCAGCCGCAGCCGCCGCCCCCGTACGCTGCACATTGTGTTCACCCGAGTCAGGGAACGCTCGCACGAGGAGATGGGCCGGCTCCTGTGCAGGGTGCGCAAGATGGGCACCGGCCAGGCAGACGGCGACCCGCCAATCTCCATCGCCGTCGACGCCGCCGACTCGGCCTTCTGCGCCGGCCCTCCCCGCCGCTCGAGCCGGCGCTCCAGAGCCTGGCGCCGCCCAGCGACGCGCTGGGCCGCGTCGTGGACGTCGGGCCCGTCGCCAACCTGGACGCGAGCACGCTGATGGCGCTCGTCTCGGACATCTCGCACGCGCACGTGCCGGAGCGGGCGTGGCAGCGGCCCGACATCCGCGGGCAGGTGCGGGCCGAGCTGTCGGGCGCCGGGCCGAC